AATCTCTAAATAAAACTACCAAACGCATTTTTAGAAATAATTCAAAAATGAAACTAAAAACGTTTTCATTTTCATTTTCGTACAGAAAATAAAAACGTTTTGGAACCAATTCCAAACGCACCCTATGTTTCTCATCGTTTCAACTTTGAATAAATGAATCACTAATAACCAAATGCTGTGCCTTTTTTCTTCAAGTAGTTTCTATCTCTTGTTTGTTAATTTCATCTTTATTATTACTATTTGTTGTTATTATCGCAGTTATTGTTATTGTTTTCTGTTAATCCATGTCATGTAGAGATATAAATCTCTCTTTTTTTCCCCCCTTTTTTTCTTGTTCGTAAGAGAAATGGAGCAACTCATAGAAGTATGGATTGGTTTTTTTATGACTGATTTGAGATCATTGAGATCATGAGTTCTACTAAATGTTGATTCGAAGAACCCACAAAACATTTAATTAACAAGGAAAAAAGTAAAGGAAATTTTTTTTGGGGGGTTGTTTGTTTGGATTGAGCTATCATAAATTAGTACATATGTTGTCTTGCATGTGTAATTTGCATAATGAACTTTCTCCGCTTTGCATGATAAGATCGTCAAAAATTTTTACGTAAATTTGATCGTTGCTAACGAACCCTAACCGTTCCCGCCTTTTTCGGAACAATAATGATAACGATAATGAAAGCGATAGCGACAAAAATCATTATGATTTCATGATCTTTTTACCCATTTAGCTTGCTGATCCCATTCCGAAAACGTATCGAAACCTAGGATTCTATTTTTCACAACGAAAGGTTTGTCATTTTTCGGATAAATTTTATTCTAAAATATAATGACTGTGTAGTAAAGGTAATGGTTTTCATTCCATTCAATTCATTCTTAGCGCAATGAGGGAAATACCAATGTCAGTCACGGATTCCTCTTTCATTTTTAAATCTTACCAAACATCGAGTTTTACCACACCAATCATAGCTTTTTTCTGTAGCTACCAAAATATATATATATATATATATAAAACAACAATGTATTGCAACTCTAAGCTTATTATGTTATTGTGATGTTATTAACAATCTATAGGCTACACTTATGGTAGATTATGTTCGTTACGACGAATATTTTGTCGTTTTTCGGTTAAATGTTCTTTTTAAAGTATATAATTATTATGTAGGAAAAAGGAAGGAATTTCTCTTACATTTAAGCCCTACCAAACATTAAGGTATTACTGAACCAACCATAGCCTTTTCTATATCTACCAAAAATAAGAATAACTCTAAGACTATGTTGTTGAGAGGTGATGTACAATCTCTGTGCTACAGTTAAGGTTGAGAGAAATTCTGTGTGAAAGTTGTAATTGAATTTAAAACAGTAATTTTGGAAAATCCAGGCAAAAAGTCGATCCTGATCTAGTCAGGAAAACAGGATCGTGGATTACAAGTGAAAACAATTGACATAGGAAAGAAAAAACTGTTAAAAGGTATAATCTTAGAATTAATAAACATTAGTACAAGATAACTTTGTTTAAAAAAAAGTTGAATAAACATTAGTACAAGATAACTTCGTTTAAAAGAAGTTGTTCACATTTGGCCTTAACCTTGATCTTATATCTGTCAAGATAATTAATTCCAAACTCTCCATATCTTTATTTTCTTTATTTCTGTCTTTGATTCTGCCCTGATAAATGCTTGGCTGCATGCTTCTGTTTTAAGAGATATCTAACTGATCAGTACAGTTGTGGTTTTTTTTTTTTTTTTTTTGGACGTTATCATGTTAATCTCTGGTCCTCCGGCTTTCTTTCTTTTACCAGTAGCAAAATAGGTTATTGTTTTATTTTTTTTTTCCCTCGCCATGTTTGTTTCCGGCCACTTGTTTTTAGAGTGCAGCAGAATCGGCATTTTCCAATGGCAAGAGAAGTTAATCGGGAAGTCGCAGAGAAAAGCTTGGCCAACAAGAAGGTGTGCGCTAATCTGTTGGACGCTCTCTTATCGAATAGATCAGGTAAGCTTATTAGGGCCGTAGCAGGAGGTGGGAGGAAGCACGAAGGTGGTCTGGCGACCGATGAAAGTCTGTTTCCGGGGCTTCCCGATGACATGGCGCTAGACATCGTGGCCTGGATCAGCAGATCGGACTACCCAACACTGGCCTGCTTGAATACAAAATTTAAGTCGTTGATTGGGAGTGAATACCTGTATCAGTTGAGGAGGAAGCTTGGCATCATTGAGCACTGGGTTTTCATGGCTTGTATCCTCACGCCTTGGGAAGCTTTTGATCCTGCAAGACGGAGATGGATGAGGCTGCCAAGGATGCCTTGTGATGAGTGTTTTACTCACGCCGACAAGGAGTCCCTCGCGGTAGGAACTGACTTACTTGTATTTGGTCGTGAGTTGAAGGGATTCGCAATATGGAAGTATAGCTTGCTTTCTCGTGACTGGTCGAGGAACCAGCACATGAACTCGCCCCGTTGTTTGTTTGGCTCGGCCAGCGTGGGGGAGATGGCGATTGTGGCTGGGGGATGCGACCTGAATGGCGTTGTTGTGCAGTCTGCTGAGGTTTACAACTCAGAGCTGGGAACGTGGCATCCTTTGGCAGACTTGAGCGGGCCGCGCAAGATGTGTTCGGGCTTCTTCATGGACGGCAAGTTTTACGTGATTGGGGGCATGTCGAGCAATGCAGCCAATTATCTGAGTTGTGGAGAAGAGTATGACCTGGGAAAGGGGACGTGGAGGAAGATAGAGAATATGTACCCCGCTGAATTCGCCGGCGTGAACCAATCTCTGCCTTCTCCACCGCTGGTTGCTGTAGTGAATAACGAGCTCTACACCGCAGATGTGTGTAGAAACGAGGTAAAGAAATACAGCAAGGCGAATAACACATGGAGCGCGGTGAAGGCGTTGCCAATTAGGGCGGGTGCTGCGAATGGCTGGGGGATGGCGTTCAGAGGATGCGGACGAAGGCTGCTGGTGATTGGAGGGCCTGGAGTTGAGGCCGCTGTGATGTACTCTTGGGAGCCCCAGCATGGAGACCTGCAGGACTGGAATTTGCTTGCTGTGAAGCAAGGAGCCGGGTCTTTTGTTTACAACTGTGCCATTATGGGCTGTTAGAAAATTGCATCGCTCTTGTTTCTTTTCTCCATTTATTATCTTTCCTTTCCTTTCCTTTCCTTTCCCCTTTATAATGTTAATGTTAATGTTGTTGACCTTTTGTTGCACAAGTTTTTACTTTTCTTGCGGGAACTAAATAAGCTATCATTTCAATTTCAAGTTTTTACTTTCTTTCGTTGCATTTTTATTTTTATTTTCTTGAATGATCAATTCACCACTATTGTCTTTTAAGCTTTTAGTGTATTTTTGCGTGGTTTATATATATACGTATTATTATGTGTTGTGTGATTCCGCAAGTGCACATATTGTACAAGTAATAAAGTGTATTAGAGTAAGAATATCGTTCTTACGGAGATTAAATCACCAATAATATAATGTAAAAATCATGCAAACACTAAATTAAGTGAAAGAATAAACTAAATAAAAATTTACTAAAATGATGTAAAGAAATAAGTGTAACATAAATGAAGCCAAATGTGATAGAATTGACAAAAATGCAGCTACGGGTTGTAATCAGTGATTTAAACAAACTAAGATTGCTAATTTCCCCTCAGTTGCAAGTCTGACAGTAAATGCTGCATGAAATGCTATAGCATTATTACCCCTATTAACTGAAACTTAGTTCCCTGCATAAAATTCTTCTGAATTAATTATGACTAAAAATTCTTCAAACCATTTCCAGCATATTCTTATGTGTATCTAGTTCTCAGAATGCAAACTTCAATACCAATTTTAATGTGTTATGGAAGATGAACAATATATTCCTATACCATTCATAAATAAACAAACTTAAACAAGACTATTTAACTTGCGTCATCCATATTAGATCCAACTCAAATTAACCTTCCCAGTATTAATCTATGTCTTGTATCCTATAGTTGATGGCCAGTCAAAAATAGAAATAATCAATCAACACACATGGATGAACATGAATAAAATCAGTAAACATTCCATAAGCAAACTATCTTTCTTACAACCTTGGTTCCATTAACAATCATAGCTAAGAACAACTTAGCTCATAGCTGAATTCGCAAAAACCGAATTCCCAATATGACCCATTAAACTAATATCAAGGGTTCCACTATTTACAAATCACAAAAATAAAGAGATGAGAATATGAATGAAAAACCCATTTTGGAGTTGTCACAAACTCCAAAATCTTCTTTCTTCTTCTCATCTCCTTCTTCTTGATCTCCAAATGCTTTCTCCCCTAACAATTTATTGAAAATAAAACCTACACCTCAAACTTGAAAATAAATCTTAAAACAAAATAAAAGTAAATATATATATTTTTTGTATTTTTCTTCCTTCTAAAATGGCTTTAAAAGCCTTATTATTTTGCTCCTCCTTTTTTCTGTGGTTTCAGGCTCTGTGCAAAGCTCTATGGGCTGGGAGCTTCCTCTCCTCTTTTTCTTTTTTACTGTGGCTGCTTCCTCTAAAAAATGGGTGTACTTCTTGCTAGGGCAACAAAGGACGCTGAGGTGGCACTTAGTGGGTGATTGGGTCAACTGACCATCCACAGCAGCATCCTCCCGTGCACTTTATTTTTCTTTCTTCTCTCTGACATGTGCTGATGTCATCCACGACTGCCTGCTGTCATATTTTTACTGCAACAAATGCTGCATTTATCCTCACAATTCATGCAATTCACACCAACGCATCTTAGACATAACTCAGCACTTTTTGATTCAATTTTTTTTTTCAAAATCACCTCAGAAATAGTACATATACAAATCTTAGCAGAGTACATCACAAGAATCAAAAGTTGAACATATAAAACAGAAAAACAAACTACTATGCCCTTGGATTAGCCAACTTCAAGCCTAAAATGCCTAAAATAACTCTAATTTTTAGAGTTATCACACCCCCAAACTTAAAGTATTGCTCGTCCTCGAGCAAAAGAGAGAAAAATAAAAAGACCCAAAAAATAAAGTGTGTATTTTGTGGGTGAATTCTCAAGAAGTTTTTTCCCAAAAATTGAATTAGAAAAAATAGCTTAGGGAAAAAAATAATTTCCAACCAAGTGTTGAATTTAAATCCAAAAGATTGTTTCTTCTCCAATTGGACTTTTCTTGTGTGTGTGTGAATTGCCGAGTGCTATATCATCATTATCAATCTAAATAGGACCATGCAAACATGCTCTATGCAAAGAATCTCTAAATATGAGTTTAAAGCTCTATGAGCTCACTTTTCAAAACTCTTTCCACTAATGTAGATCAATACATTACCAAGGATCAATACGACTTTTTAAGCTTGTAATGTTAGGCTAGGGTAAAGATAGGATATAAGGTAATATTTTGGCTCAAATCACCCTTTAAACACATCAATAATTCTAGGACCTTAGAAGAGCTCAAATAACACACCCAAGTAACACCCCCAAACTTGATTTTTACTTTCTTTTGTCATCTACTTTTTTTTTTTTTTTTTGAGTTACTACACCCTTAATTTTAATTTCTTTCTTACATAAGCCAAGGATGTAGCATATATATTTTTTTTATCTTTAACTTTTCTCTCTCTCTCTCTCTCTCTCTCTCTCAATAAAACTCCTCTACCCCCAAACTTAAAATCAACATTGTTCTCAATGTTGCAAAAAGAGCAAAGAGGGTACATAACACTCCTATTTTTCATTTTTTTTATTTTTTTTCCTTTTTCACAAATACAACACAACACAGAAATTTTCACAACACCACCCTTCCTCCCATATTCTAAGATAACTCAATGTGCGTCCTAGAATGACTAACATGCTTATGGGTGATGGGTAGAAAGTTGGAGATTATTGAATAGGCTAGGCTAAGGATGTAGGTAACAAAGAAAACAGTAGAAATAGGCTCAGCAAGGTAGGCCCAAAAAAGCTCAAATGGTCTAAAGATGGGCCTAAATCATTTTCTCAGTAAAGTGCTTATCTAGGATTTCGTCTTAAGAGTTCATCAAGCAAGTTCTAGAGCTTGTGAGATCGAAGAATAAAACACATTTACACAATCCTTCTCTAGAAATTCAATGAATCAATAACACTAGGCTAAGTGCTCAAATGAAGAAAATCACAATCTTTGAATAAGACAATCAATTGAATCTAAGAACAAAACTAAGTAGAAATCATCATTTTCTAAAAGCTATGCTCAATCCAATCACATTCATCATGGGTCCAAGAGAATTCACCACAAAAGCACACTAAACATCAATAAAACACAAGACTCTAAATTTTTTTTTTAAAGAAAAGATGCAAAAACAAACAAACATAAATACAAAGACAAACAAAGTTTCCCCCCAAACTTATCAAGCACAATATCCTCAATGTGTAGGCAATCAAAAACTTAAGGAAAGGTTTAAAGAAAACTCCCTTATGTTGATTTGGCGCTTAGGCTTTAATGCTTGCTCGCTCTCTTGAATTGAACCCATTCCTTAAGCTCTGACGCTTGCACCTACAAAAGAGAAACACTAAAGCAAAGTAAAAAGTTCTAAAAGCTTAAAACTAAAACTTGAAAGGAATGAAAATAAGAAAAGGTTTAGAAAACTTGGATTGTTTCCCAAGGAGCGCTTGCTTTAACGTATTCAGCCAGACTCTTAGAGAAGCGCTCATCAAAGAGCGGCTTCGCCCATAGTAAGTGTCATACAACCTTACAAATGGGTCTTTGGTTGCGATGCCCTCAAGCTTGGCATGATTTTTGCACTTTAGGCACGTGGCGCCAACAACACTTGTCTTCAGATAATGGTGGGCTTGATCGGAGAACCTCATTTTCGGCTCGAGTTTGAACAAAGTATAATATGGTGATGTTGGTGACGATGGCCAAAATGGATCATTTGGAGGTGTATACAATAGTGCCATTGGTGACCTTAAATCAATGGTCTCGTGAGCTTCCACATCCTCCAACGACTCTTTTACTTCTCCCTCTTATAGGAATTCCTCTAACATCCTTTTAAAATGTTCTTCATGCTCCACTTGGCTATCTAAAACCATGCTTGTGATTTGAGCATCACAAACTCATGGCTTGAAACGGGCGTCACGTCACTTAGAAGATGTAAATCGATTTTGATCATGTGAGCGTCCATCTTAGCTAAGTTTTGAGCTAAAACAACATCAAGGGCTTCTAAATCTTCATCCCGAGGCTCAATTTCCTCCAGAGGCTCAAATTTCTGTGAAGCTCTAATATCATTCAATTCACTCTCCCAACCTTGGTTGTTTGAGTCATCATCATCAAGCCACATTTGACTATTCACCATTTGATTTTAGACCTTAAGATTCTTGGTCCACTCCATAAAATGGTTGATAGCATTCCCCAACTTCTTCTAGTCTCATTTTCTTCTCTTCTTGATGCTCAAGTGGTTGGTTTATAATATTAGGGTGTGAGATATATGGATATCAGGACTAAGAAATTTATCGAAATTATTGTATGGGATAATATTTTCTAGAATCATTTGTATTATTAATATGAATACTTTTATGGTAAGTATTTGTTGATATAATTATGAAATAGCAAGTTATAAGTTAAAGTTCAGAAATTTCTGAACTACGATGCAGTTATCGATTTTTGGACTATATTTAAGGAAGAAGTATGGAATGTTGTGTTAAGCCCACAAGTGTGTAAACACATGAATATTAAGTTTCATAAATGGAAAAGAATTAAAAGACATCAATTCTAGGGTTTTAGAGACAATCGGAACAAAAAACAGACGAAAAAGGGGTTCGGAAGACCGAACCGAGAAAATTGGGGTTTCGACTGATTTGAGTTGACCAAGTCAAAATTTGTTGACTAAGAGTCGACCAAAACGTCGCCCTTAAAAAGTTAGTCCAGAATGGTCAAGGTTGACTAAGTTGACCAACTGTCTGAAATACCCGTCATCACAAACACCAAATTAAGTGAAAGAATAAACTAAATAAAAATTCACTAAAATGATTTAAAGAAATAAGTGTAACATAAATGAAGCCAAATGTGATAGAATTGACAAAAATACAGCTATGGGTTGTAATCAGTGATTTAAACAAACTAGGATTGCTAATTTCC